ATGGCTGATATTTATAAGTTACTTTAAAGTAATTTTATTTACTACCTAAATGACATTACAGCATAACCCTAATTCTCATGATGACTAAAACCAGAGTCACACTTAAATGAACGTCAGCCTTCTGGATTATTTTTTATTACTCTGTCACAAGATAGGGGATAGATTTGGCTTGTTATACCATGACAATTTGATTTCACAGACATGTTGCAAAGAGGGAAGAAAACACGGCTCATTTAGCTTATTTCTGGCATTTAAAATGTAGAATCCAAGCCTTGTGATCTTTTTTAATAAGGCATATCATTATTTAACCAACCCTGAAACTTCATCTCCAAGAGAAAGATGTCATGGTTGTCTTAGCAGTGTCTTCTTGTCCAATTGGAAAATGGAGTTTGAGGTGAGGGGCTTTTTTCATAACAAAATTACACCAAAAACATACAAAATAACTGCCTATTTATTTTTATTAAATCTTGAAAATAAAACAAACACTATGCTGCATTTTATAATTTCCCTCGGAAGCTGCCAATTGCTACAAAGAATCAGGTTTTTTAAGTTTGTAGTTTCAGCTCAACATGTAAATTAAACGTTTCTGTCTGATTAGCATCCGAGGATGACACAGAATTTGTTTTTCTGAATAAAGAGCTGTAAATTAAGAAAATATTTGAGATAAGAATGGTCTTACAATTACAAAGCTTTAAACTGCATATCTTCAGTGTGACTTCATGAGATCATCTTATTGCCACATGACAAAATGTTTCTTAATTCAAACAAACATGATTCATTCTGAGCTTTAAAGGGTTTAAAGAAGCTGTTCTTGCTCCATCACACTGATCTTACACTGAAGTATAAATGCAGTGATTGTGATGTGGTTACTTTAAACTGATTGTATTTCTATTTACTGACAGCTCCTAACTGCATTAAGAGGCATTTTCCACAGTTCTACTTTTACTTGTTTCATTGTTCAGGAGAGTTTTGATTCAACCCTGCGGCACATCCATGATTCAATGAAGTCATATTTGAAAAACCCTTGATATTATAATAAAGACACATATAAATTTATGGCAAGCCAATTATCATACAAAAATTAAATCAGCCTTAAAAGTAGAGATAAAGTAAAAAAACACCGAAGGCACTAACAAAGCTCTTCATAATTGTTGTAAGAACAGAAGGAAGATTACAAACAAGAGAGAGCATTGGGCTCATCTAGCTTGTCTGGTCCTAGAAGTTAATTGATGTGCAGATCTCATCCAGCTATTTCTTGAAAAAGGCCAGGTTACTGGCTTCCACAAAATGACCGAGAATGTTATTTCACACAATCACAACAGTTTGTGTAAAAACCTATCCACTGTTCTCATGTTATAAATGCAGTTGTTTATAGTTTCAAGTTATAGTTACGTTCTCTGGTTTGTGTTTTACTGCTGTGTTTCGGTTTTTAGCTACGAGAAGGAGAACATACATTATTCTAAGGAAAACAGGATATGCATGCTCACACATTAAGGCCCTCTAAAGTACAGAAAATAATGTGTTACTTTTTGCTTTGGTGCTGATTCATCTCTGTGCTGAGAAAATGAACCCCCTCCCCTTAATTTTAAGTAACAAAATTTCCATTTGAATGATGAACACTCAGCACTATGCATCTGCAATAGGAGCCCACAAAAATACAAGAATAAAGGGAGTAAGCTTTGATCTTTGGAAGAAAGGTGAGAAGCATGAAGAAAGAAAATCATACACCGTCTCGATTTTTTGATAGCCCCAACTCATGCACACCACCACAAAGAGAACCGTAATTAACGGAAACCAAATAGCTTGATACAAATACCCCCTCCCCCACATGAGCAAAGAAACTGAACTGGTTGAATAACAGGGCTGGGAAAACCCTCAGCACCTGCTGGTTGTGGAATAATGAAACATATATTAAATAGACAATATCAAGGCAGGGCTGTCCTTGTGTATCCTGTGATGCTACTGAAATAAAGCTTGCTTAAGAAAGAGCAATCATAAAAATCTTTTTCTTTTTGCAAGATTACAAAAAATTCTCGAGTGATTCCACAAAGTTTTAGACTGGGCCAAGCTAAAGCCCAGAACTTCAAAACATAAAAATATGTACAGTCAACATCATTGTAGCTGTATTACAAGTGTAGTTAAATGGAACTGATTTAGAAGGCTGTTGTTCCAGAAAGCACAAGGGTTATTAATTCATACTTTTAAGCATTCCTTTAAAAAAATGACATTTTGATAAACATGACTTCATAATACTTTCAAATTAAAAACCTACTACTTTTACAAAACAGGTTTATATACTGCAGATCCATTTCAAAACTGGCCTGACTATGCCTATCTAGTCAAAGTCCCTGGTAACTAAGACAGCAGTTAAAATTCAGAAAGAATGGTATTAAATTCTTCACTATGACATTGTTCATCAAGAAAAAACAAAATCAAAAGCAACAATATGCGAGGCCTTTAAGTAGCAGAAACGATTAATACAGATGTTGTCCATCACAAGTGAGGCTTTATAGATCTATGAAGCCACAAGGAGTCATGTTTACTGCTTCCTTGACAGTATTCTAAGCTCTTTTATTGCCTAAACATGACTATCAGTAAAACTAGCAGGTAGAAAACAGGTGCAAGGAACACTGATCTCAATGTAATTATAAACATCGACTAAGACAGATACAAGTCCTACCTGTTTCTACACGAAACAAGTACTAGATAATAGACTACAACTTAAGATAATATTTTTAAAATCTTATAATAAAAAAGTCAGAATAAAAGCAAAATATTATATAGTTTCTCTTTTGTCATAAATATTCCCTTACATTTCAAAAATTAAAATTAACCAAATAAACATTTACTAAATGCACCAATCGTGTATCGTTCAGAATTCAATTGCATTCTGTGATTTTGAAAAACAAAGGGCTGTGATTTGGTGTGTAAATAAAACACTGAAATCAGAAAAAAAGTGAATCAATGCACTCAAGGCTCTTTCTGTTAACACTAGCTCTGCCCTTTAAGTACAGCTTCTCTGCCAATCCAGTAATGGATGGCCCAGCAGAGAGGCGTCCATCTTAAACTTGTGTGATAAAGATTTGGAACGAACTGCCTTGACAACCAGATATAGGTTGTTTTTTTCCCCACACATCTTTGCATGTTGCACATATACACAAAAAGCCTGATACTGTTATATCTACTTTTGGAGAAACAACTGAACACTTGATCATTGTGGAAATAAGGGGTTTTTTTTGTTCAGGAAATTGCTTTGTGATTACAAAAGTAATGTCTTATTCCTTTAAGCATAAGTACAGACTTTATGGTAATGTATTCACCATTATTTTTTAGTATGTGATGCACAGTATTTAGGTACAGAAACAAGAAGGGACTTTAAGTATATAAGATTCTGTTACATGAATGCCATTCTTGTCACAAAGTATTAAGCCAAAAATGCTGGCAATGTATTCTTCATCATGTAACTATTTTTAAAGGGTCTACATTTATTACACAGCTCAATGACAATTACAAAACACCAACAAGTATAAAAATACAGAATGTTTTATGTTTTTACAACTTAGTGCACCTGCTTCTTTGTAACTATCAAACTACGAGGCGCACAGTCACAACAAGACGTTTCAGTTTATGAATAGAATTTGGTGTCGCACAGGCATCCTAATACAACATTATACAATAATGTCTATCTATGGATCTATGTTTTTTTCTTAACACAGCTGCTGATACAGATTGCTGAGTGAAAGACATAATTTAGTGAGAAAGTCGCTAGTGAATTCAGACAGAGTCCAGTAACAGATGCCAGAGCCCTGGCTTTTAAAGAGGAAGTGTAAGCAAATTCTTTTAGCTACGATACCAGCCTAATTGCTTGCCCCAGAAATAATTGGAGGGCTAATTCATGAACTGTCAAAGGTGATCCAGCCCACCTTGTGTTCTTCATTTAAACTTCATGCTCCCCCACCAACTCCCCCTTTCCTCAGCTACATGCTCTCTGCATTCCCCAATGAACCATGACATGTATCTCAAAAGGAGTCTGTCTCATTCAACACAATGCTTTCATGCAGACGGCTTTGTTCACAGAGAAATAAAATACAAAAACTGGCTGACCCAGGGGTGCCATTCAATCTGTGAAGGCTCTGCCCAAATCTCTTCCTATAATCATACTCAAAACTCAATCAATCAGTGACCTGAAAGGTACAACAAAGTAAGCCATGAATTCTCATTCTTGAGTCCATGTTTCTCAAGATCACTATCACTATTTTAAAAGGGGAGGATGGAAGTAATGTTTTCTTTAACTTGGTTTCAGATGACTGGGCTAGGCTTATCAGTTGTGAAGAAAGTGAACTTCTAAAAGCCTACTTCTATTGATTATTCCATGAAGTTTAGCATAGCAACACCAGACAATTACATTTACTTTTATTTAAACAAATCCAACACTCGCTCCTGACTGGACAACAGATTCCAGGCATGTAGTTATGTACATTTTGAGGGAAAGAATCTGATCTTCTATTTGTCTTGTTGATTTGTTGTTTTTTTTACCCCTGAGAAGATTAATGTTCATTACTGCGCTTCAGTAACAGAAAAGAAAAAATACTGCTTTGACTACCACTGGGACATTAGCCAATGTACATTTGTAAATCACTCTGAAACTGTATAAATATTTAGAGGGCACTTTTAAGTGGAAGAAGGCTTCTCAAACTTTGAGTGAACTGCTTTAAGATATACGTGTACTCAGTATCCTTTCAAATGGCTTCATTCAACATTAACATCAAATGACGTCAACAATATTTGTTCAATATCAAAAATTGGAGAAAAAAAACTTAGGAATTACTAACAATAACAACTCTTTCCCTGTCAAAGAGCCCCTAATTTTACAACTGAAGTTTAGGTCACTGGACTCCAGATTCCTTTTTAATTAGAAATATGTGGAGGGAGTTTAATGAGATAAAGAGTCTCTGCTCCTGGTAATATTCCCATCATGCAGAGGTAATGATTCCACTTACCGGAAGAAAAACATGTACAGAGAGGCAGTCAGGCAAAACAACAGCACCTGTGCATACATAAAAAAAGAAGAAAAAACATACATGAAGAAAGCTGAAATGTTATACATAATGTCAACAGAATTCACAACAATTGCTGAAATAATCAGATTTTCATTTGCTGTATTATTCACTGTGGTGAATAATGAATCTGAAAGGGACATTACACCCCCAGATCGGCATTAAATTCCCCTACATTAGGGGACTGTTGTTTTGCCACAGCTGGGGAAATATGTTTTTACCCACACACTTAAATAACTTAAATATATATTATATTTAATGTGTATATACTGTGCATGGCTCAAGCAAAATACTACACAATGGTATGTTTAGTAATAGTAAATCAACTCTCCAAAATACTTCACAAGATTTAGCCACAGAGATTACAACAGTGCAGCCAGGTCTTCTCAGTGTACTGTGTTATGCAACAGACGCCTAATGCCAGGGACCCCTAAGAGTCATGACAGTTGGTATAGTATATGTTCCCCTGCTACGTTGCTTGAGGCAACATAATACCTGGCCAATGTGTCTATTTTGACAGCATCAAGACAAGCTCTCTATAAGAGGCATTCTCTAACAGTATGATAGGAGGGATTATAGGTATGTAAATACTGTATATAAGGAACATCTTTCAGGTTTATGGTGTGCTTTAAAGAACCTCCAGCCACTATGAATTAGCTAAATTAAAAGGCAGAATAAGAAATCTTTTCCCCCCTCAGTGTTATGGAACACAAAAAATGTTAATGCATTAATATTATACATGCAAACAATACACACAAATACAGTATAAACATAAGGTGTTGGTCTTACACAATGACTGTGGACTGCTGTAAAGATATACTCCAAATTACATCCAACTACATACTAGTATTGCACAACATCATAGTTTGTTATAAATACATTTTTCTCCTCTACAAAATGTGATGTTATCATACTAAAAAAAGCTATATTTGTTCCAGATATCACCTGGCCATGTGCCATAGTGCTCACACCTAAACCTCAGCAGCTGTTAAATGCCATACATGCCATTAACACTTCATTGCCAATAAGCCCCACAGGCACCACTAACAGACAGGATCAAAATCGTTCCAAAAACCAAGTTAGAAGAAAACAGGCAATTATTCTGACACAAATTTTAGCAATTTTCAATGACCAGGACAGTGATTACATCTGACATATGTCAAATATGTTTAAACAACAATGTACTATATTGTGGAATCACCAATTGCTTACTTATACCAAGGAATGTACTATATTTTATGCTCTATTAACATTGTCTACATGAATACATTTCAGGTCATGCTACAAAACAGTATTCTTTTTGATTTTACAAAATCAAATTTTGATTTGTGAATTTGCAAATGGGTAATACAATGACCCAGATTGAAATTGTGTCAATGTCATTCTGTAACACAAAGATCTGCTATATTAAGTAACAAAATAGCAGGTCAATTAGAATTCTATTACTATAATATTCCCAGTCACTACAGTGAAGGGTGCAGTCCCAACTGATTATTGTATGTTACTTTGTATACATATCTGTATACTCTGTGTGTATAATAATGAAAAATAAGGCATCATTATGGAAGATGACCCTGTGTCAAATCAGTGGTCGCCATAGCAATAATGTTTTATCATTTCCACTTCAACTTGTATTTATATTTATCTCATTTTAAGAGACAGTATCCAAGTTGGTAAGCCATTCTGCCTAATAAAAGTCCGATATTTTAAAGATATGCCTTTGTGCATTTCAGTTGAATTGAGACAGACAACCACACCACATTCCTTCATCTATAAATGGCATAAATAAAAAGATCTGCAGACTATGTTATACACAGCAATTGTTTTTTTTATTTTGTAATAAAAAACAGACATTTTGAAATAGTGTTTTGTGTCAGTACATTAATCGGAAATTACAGAACCAAGCAGAAATGAAATGAACGAGCATCTGTCATTAAGGAAAGGTCACACGTGCTGTGTAAATACCAGGGCTGTCTCCTCCCTCACAAGTGAAAAAAAAGAGGACAAGGCAGAACTCAGCTTAGCAGAACAACCAAACAACTTCCCACTGTGAGGGTGATTGGAAATGAAGTGGAGTCACGCAGTCAGCTGCAATCCCTCAACTCCCAGCAATTTGGACACTTTCCCTCCAGCCTTTCCTCACTAGGCCTTTCAAGAAAAATTAGTCACACAGCCAGAAGGACAAGATTCATGCCGAGAACGGCCGTCCTATAGCCGCTTGACCACTTTCGACCTCTTCACACACTAAGTGAAACTCATTACTCATGCAAAAGCATTTTTTGATACCTTAAAACAATATACATATTCCCCATGTTGTAAATCATGTGTAGATAAGAGTAAAGGATAGATGAGAAAAAGAATAATTCTTCAGTGTTTATTGTGGCAGTCTATCAATTTGGTCTTGTGTTCTTTGAAAATAAAGATGTATATACAAAATACATGAATATATACAGTAATACAGTTATATAACATTAATATAAAAACCTTTGCTTTTAGTGTTTGGTAAATAGAAATAGAACTTAAATATCACAAACTAAATGTTTCTGTGAACATTATACAGTACATTAAGTAATTTGTTTTCTGAAATTAACGGAATTAATCATGTTACAATTTAAAAAAATAAGGTACAAAAAGGAACATACTAGAGTATGGCTAACATCCATCCCAACTTATTTTCTTGCAATAAGTACAAGTTGAAACGGAGATCTATTTATGCAAGACCACTAAGTTCTTCATAGCAAAATGATGTAAAAAAGCAGTATTGTTTTCAGATTTTAGCAGCTAATGCATGTTATGATCGCCACTCTGTAACTGAAATCAAATCCTCTGACTTCTGTGTAAAAAGTAAACAAATAACAGAATTTGGAATGTTTCCAGCAGAGGTTTCAGTTCTGTTGCTAAACTGAGAGAAAATGTTTTAACAATGTGAAGGCCAAACTTAAAAAAAAGAGCCCAAAGGTAAACACACAGGAAGTCAAATATTTAAGCAAATTCACTGGTTTGAAAGCACGCTTTTTAATTACATTACACATTATTACGGTTCTTGTTTGTTTCTTTGTGGCTTTTAATTTCCGCAAATGTCAGAGATTATTTCTAAAATAAGAATGACATTTCCATCTGTACTGTTGCTAATCAATGCAGCAATGAGAAGAGTTTTATTGGTTTAAAGTTTAGGACACGAAGGCTCCGAACAAACAATCTATGCACTATATAAACTGCTTTCCAACCTGCAGACGGATTGCAGACTCCAAAACCAAGTATCAGATACACACTTCCTTTGAAGTCATCTCCTGTTAAGAGCTTCATTAAGGGGTGCATTAGTTTGTTTCTGCTTTTACACGCTGTAATTATGTGTCCTTTACAATGCTGACAAACACATTTTTTTCCCCCTTCATATAAAATTAAAAATGAACGTCAAGGATAATACTCTACAAATGAGTCATGCCATGCCTCTTTCAGAAAGACAAAGCTGGTGGACTGAAGCATGAGATCGATTTTTTCTGCGACCAGTCACCCTACAATGCTGTTATGCTAGTGCAACAAACAAAGCAAATCTCTGAGATCACCCCCTTTGCAAAAAAAGGAAAAGTTTGCACAGAAACCAAATTCCTCTATGACTGGTTGCACGACCTTTCCAATCTGCATTGTTTCTACAGAAAAAGGAGAAAAAAAAGAGATACCAAGAGAGCAACAGTCATGTCCTATTTTCCCCAGTGTTTATTTTATCTGTCAGATTAGATAAGGCAAAACAATGTTAAAAGGTCCTTGTAGTAAAGACTGGCGGTCTGTCCAAATATGAATGTGGGTGAATCCAACAAGGCAATGATAAAACATTCCAGCTTTGGTTTTAGCAGAAATACGAAATGTCTCTGTTTATAGAATTAAAAACCCTTTATTACCACAACCAATCTATAATCTGTTAAAAGTTTTGGTTACATACATTCATAATTATGAAGAATTATAATATGGTTAAACTTCAATACAGGCTATAGATCAGAACATCCCGATACAAACCAAGTATCCAGAATTACTCAAACTCATCAAGTTTCCTGCTTGAACTTACACAAAGCTATGGCTTATGAATAAAAAAATAATGCAATTTAACTTTAATTACTGTATTACAAAGAACCATCTTCTTAATAGCAAATAATGATACAGGATGTTAAAAAAGTCCCAAATACATTGTGGAAATGCAATATCAGTTTACTGAGATTGTGAAAGAAACAAAAAGGGCCAGTTGGGTAACAAACGAGTAGGATCTCACGTTTCCCAAGACAGGAGCCACTGTAATGTACAGCTGACATGAGCTGTCATCATTCAATAGAATGAACCCTCAGGGTAATGCAGGCTCAGAAAAATTAACATGTTGGAGTCACAGGCTGACAGGATCCCAGCATTAACAACAGAAAGGCTTAAGGGCTTAAGTTCAGGTGCTGATAGATCAGACTTTATTATAACCATTTATTCAGAGGTTACTCAAATATTTATTTTTTTCTAGTGGAGGTAATTACGCCATCTTTTGCTTTTTTACTTCAGATAAAAAGATTTTATCTGTGAATAAATTAATAATTGTACAGTATCTGAGCTGCACAACAGCTTTAGCAAACAAAGTCAGTTCCAAAAAGGAAACCCAGACAATATTTCCAGGTTCTGACACTCAAAACTGACAAGAATCTGTTTTGCTCTGGCTGGGGAGTGAGGAAACAAAAGGAACAATGACCACAGATAGGAAGTTGAACGAAAATACAAAAAAACGCAGCACAATCTACCAATTTTTCAAGCACAAAATAATGTTTTAAATATGGCAAATACATTGTATTGCCACCTAATTTTTATTTTTCAGATTTTCATATATATTCAAGTACGTGTCTATCAATTTTCCCACTTACCACTTGGGGTCACTGTAAATCTCTTCTTTCCAATCTAAACATTCTCATTTATGTACAGTAGTTCTTAACATTTCTGACAAATAAACAAGTTTTTTTAATCC